TTGACGGAATGAATGATTAGAAGAAGAATAAGAAAAATCCAACGGTGTGTGGGTGAATCTAGATGATCATAAAAAATTGAGAGTGGATTAATTGGCTTTAAAATAAAATTGAGGGCAAATCAATAAATACTCCAAATGTTTAAAATTCTTTAACTCCATAGCCCATGGAATGCGGAATACATGCAAACGCAATAGCGCGCACGACTTCAGTCCAATCATCACCATCATCATCTATTTAAAACCCAAGAGGCATCACACATACTGCAAAGAGCAATACGAACTAAGAGAGACAGAGAGAGCTAGAGAGAAAAGTTTAGAGAGAGAGAGAGCTGCTGTGTATTTCTACAAGTGTATTTCTACAAGATAATCACGTAATTTTTTTTTTCTTACACATTTAATTTCAAATTTTTGCTCTGTAGAAATACACAACAGCTCTCTCTCTCTCTAACCTTCTCTCTCTAAGCTTTTCTCTCTAACTCTCTTCCTCTAAGCTCTTTGTCTAACTTTCTTTTTCTAAGCTTTTTCTCTCTAGCTCTCTCCCTCTAAGCTTTCTCTTTCTAGCTTTCTCTTAGAGTTTTCTCTCTCTAAGCTTTCTCTCTCTACCTCTCTCCCTCTAAGCTTTCTCTCTCTAGCTCTCTCTTAGAGTTTGCATTGCTCCTTGCATGATGTGTGATGTCTTTTGGGTTTTAAATAGATGATGATGGTGAAGATCGGACTAAAATTATGTGCGCTACTGCGTGTGCGTGTATTAGACCTATAAACGGATCGTGTTTAACAGATCATCCAAACCCAACTTGTTAAGTGAACGGATCATCCGAATTCAACCAATTAAGCTAACAAGTCACCTATTTTAGCCTTTAACAATTCAACAGAAACCACCAAATTTCAGCCAAAATACAAGTCTTATAAGCTCTAAAATTAATCAAATTTTAACTCACAAATCAACCCAATTAGGCAATAACTATATGAATACACACACACACACACAAAGCCAGACTTTTTGTAATATTACAATTATATAAAGTAAAACCTGGGAAGGATCAAAGGGTTGGATGAAGGATTGGAGGCCTGAGATGTCACAGAGAAGAGAGGGGAGAGAGAGATTGTTTGGAAAAAGGATTGGATGAATCTCTCCCTTTTTAGCGTTTCTTTAAGGGAGGTGTTTTTCTGTGGCTTATAAATTGTGCTCAGAGAGAAAGAAGAGCGGTCACCCAAAATGAAATTACACAAAAGTTCATAATAACGAATGTTAAGGGGTTTCGCGGGTTCATCCAAAATGATCCGTTATTTAATAGGTTAACCATTTGACCTGTTTATCATTCATCCGAATACTAATTTAAGAGATCGAATCGGGGTTAACAGATCGGGTTGAAAATGCCAGGTCTAATGCTCCGGCCATCCACGTCAAGGCTTTCACGGACGTGAATTACGTCAAGAAGCTAACCTTGAATTACTCTTGCAGTGGCAAGGTGCTGCTCAACCCGAAGCCCAAAAGCATCGGTCCGTTGGCGGGGAAAGGTCAGGGGCATAGAGAAACAATCAAATGGCAGGATCAAACTCCAGTATTACAAAGAGAAGAATTAGTGGTACAGCCTAGGATGAAGTCAACTACTACAAAGATAAGACAAAATACCATTCAGATATAAACCCAAAAACTAGGATTCGGTTTGAAACGGTTCGGTTTTTTTCATGAATTTTTTTTTTTTTTTTTTTTAAATATCTGGAGCTTGAAGCACATTTTTTTTTCCGCATTCGGCTGCAAATTTACCCTTTCTCTCAACACTCCGCAGATCCAGAGCCCTCTCAAGCAGAGATGAAGGTGGTCGCTGCATACTTGTTGGCTGTGTTGGGCGGCAAGACCACCCCTACCGCCGAAGATCTCAAGTACAACCTTGGCTCCGTTGGTGCGGAGGCTGATGATGACAGGATTCAACTTCTGCCTTCCGAAGTCAAGGGTAATGACATCACAGAGCTAATTGCCTCTGGAAGGGAAAGTTGGCCTCCGTACCGGCTGGTGGAGGTGGTGCTGTTGCAGTTGCTGCAACTGGTTGTGGTTGTGGTTGTGGTGGTGGTGGTGCTGCTGCCGCTGCTGCAGCTGAGACAAAGAAAGAGGAGAAGAAAATAATGATATCAGGGGAGACAAAAAGAAAGAGAAAGAAATGGGTGAGAGGGAGCTGAGAGAACAAAAGAAGAAAAAAAGCAAGAGAGAAATGGGAGAGAGAGGAAGGACCTGAAGGTGGCGGCATGATAGTTAAAATAAAAATAGAAAAAATCACGGCTGGGGAGAAGAAATGAAGAAATAATTAGTATGGGATTCCTAACTTTCTAATAGGTCTAACGTTCTATTTAGGCTTGAAGGGGTTAAAGTTTGGGCTTGAAATTAATTTGGAAATAAATATCCATTATATATAATAATTAAAATTTTACATAAAATTAATATATATTTATTCGGTTTGGTTTGGTTCGATTTTGTACTTTTGGTTTGGTTTTTTTTTTCAATTCAATTTTCGATCTGGTTTTTTTCGGTTTTTGGTTTTTTCAACCCATCCCTAGTGCTGCCCTATTAAAGTATGGTCCCCGTCACTTGTTTTTCTAAAGTGAGCAACTCTTATGATGTGATTATGAATTCGAATGCTATTAGAATGTGTTTACTTATTGGCACATACACACACACACACACACACATATATATATATATATATATATATGAAGCATAGCTGCAAATGAACTGAATGTATATAGTACAAATGGGGAAGAGCTCCTTGATGTGTTCAATGCTTCAAATGCTATCTTCTGTTTGTCATATTGGAGATTTATCATTTACTGGGTGGAACTTTTGTGACGAACCGCCACGCATCTAATTCTAAACACAATAGATTCTTCTTCAAGTTCTAAGTTTTTTCTCCAGTGAATACAAATCTGTTTCCTTCCTTAACTTTTTAATATGTTTTGTAAACATGCGATGCATTCTCTTAAACATGCGATGCATTCACGAAGGTAAAATACGAAGCCAACACTTGATGTTTTTCTCCTGCAGATGAGATGTAACAACGTTCTCTATCTTCATGGAGTGCCGGAGGATCAATGAAGAAGTTGAAGATGCTGAACTAGACTAAGATGTGCAATGAGGGTTGGTTATTATAAATATAACTTGGTAACCAGGATTTTATCTCTAGCTACCATATATTTTTGTTGTTTAGTTGGAAATGAAAACCTTTCTACTGATTTACTGCACCCAATTGGCTTATTTGTTCATGTTGATGTTCAGAGCAGCATTAACAATGGCATAATCCATCGTGGAATTTCTTTGAATTGGAGATGATATTGGACTAAAGTTCATTGTTCTAATATAACATAGGCGGCACTCAAGTACAGGCCACAAACTAAACGACCCAAAGCCACCAACCAAAACCTCACCTACAAACTAAAGTTCATTGTTCTACTTCACGTTTCATTATTATCGTTGTTTTCAATTTAACATGCGTCTGAAAATAATCTCCCTTTGTTAGTTGCACTTTGTGGTTTGGATTTGGAACATTAACAAGTTGTGCCTTTATTGGCCCTAAACCTTTTGAGAAAAACTACTTTTATTCGAACCCATCGACAATTGTCATTAAAAATCTGTCGTGAATTACCACTACTGCCTTTATGTCAACCCATTTTTTAGTCAAGTTCATCCTCTGAGGATGAGCTGAGCCGCATAGACTTCGTTGGTTGCGAGTCCAGTGCCTTTGAGCCACATGAGGACCAGAATAGGTCTAGGCCCATCTTAAAACTTCTCAGCCTTGTTGGTGCACCTTCTTCATTCCTCCTGATTCCCCAGCTTTTCCTTCTTCTTTTTTAAGTTCGCAAAAACATACTTTTTCACTTTAAAAGTCTTATTTCTTATTTATTTCCTTGGTCTTAGGTTTGATTATTGTCAAAGGCGAATTTGAACCACATTATTGCTAGCCCATTGTGAGGCTTAGCCAGCTTTGTTCATACATGTCAAGCTCATACATGTCGTCTTTGTAGTGTAAAAGGCTTTGTTCATACTCAGATTTGGGCATAGAAGTGGAATTTGTTGCGGTAAAGCACAGTACGCAACGGTCATTGAGTACTTGAGACTCAAGCCCTCTTCTTCTGGAATCACAATGTGTTGATGACAATGATATATGCGTAATTCTTTCGCAGCAAGCAATAGCTTGGAGTGCAGTTACTACAGCGCGAGTGGTCTTTATCTTTTACTGTTGTTACTTCAAGGTAACTATGGTAATCTTGACGAATAGGGGGTAGAAAGCGAGTGAATTCTTGTAGTAAATCTGGGTGGTCTTTGAAAAGAGCTGCAACCTTGCGGTAAATTACCTCAGTAGCCTCGCGGTTATTGTCACTAGATTCTGCTGATCATTCTGTAACTAGGCATAATGTTTGTAAAAGACTCATAAACATCATCATCATCATCATCATCATCTCGGCTTTCGCATAGCAGTCGGGTCTTGACCTTGTTGACGAAATCAAGGGTTTCTCGGAAAGCAAGAGGAGGAGGAGGGCAGGGTTGAGAGGTAATTTGATGTTCCTTGGGCAAGAAGGCATTGAAACCTAAGAGTAGATGAGGGTGTCCTTGGAAGAGCTGTTTGACGATGTGAACAACAGCGGTGGCTTCAAATTTTTTGGACCGGAAGTCTTGGAGGAGCTGAACAAAGTGGTGGAAGTTTTCAATCTTGCCTTTGCAAATACCTCCTTCACCTCCCTCAAATATGCCAAAGACTCGCTTTTTGTTGGTTTCATCTTTTTCGTGTCGTAGGTGTCTTCTTCTTGTTGCTTGGTTTCCAAGACAAACTCCAAGGAATTACAGAAGACAAATAAACAGAAAATATGAGAGGAGAGAGTATTTATAACTTGGGGTCAATGCCTTGTTTCAAAAGGATTCCCACTGCAAGTGGCAAGTGTTACAAAAATTGATTTTATTTTAAATTTTGCTGAAGGGGCAAATTTGGATTTTAGAGTTTTGCTTCATGGGTCGATACAGAAATCCCCCAACGGATAGGATAAAAGTCTGGCGGGCGTAGGAGAGTGACGCAGAGTGCGAGTGGCGAGTGAGCTCTGAAAAGAAAAGGCAACAATGGCGGCCTCTGCAACTGCAACAATTTCGTTATGCTCTACCTTCGCAACCCATTGCAAAATCTCGCAAAACCTTCAAACTCCGGCAACCCATTTCAGCTTTCCGTCTCTCTCCTCCTCTTCTTCCCACAAGCTGTCTTCTTGCTCTTTACGGCGACCCACATTCCCGCTTCTGATCAAGTCGTCGGAGTCGGATTCAGCCGTGGTGGTCGAGGCCGAGTTTCAAGCTCCCGAACCAGAGGCCGGGCCCGATGATTCGGAGCCAGCGGCCTTGCAAGTCGTGGAAACCCCTTCGTCGGAGGCCCCAAAACGAGAGCAGCTGTTCGGCGTTGTCATGGTATGCATTCAATTTCACTTCTTTGATTGTCTTTGTGGTTACCCAGCTAAAAATTTTAGCTGATTACATGCTACTAAATTTCGTTTTTGGTCGTTAATTTGGTGTTTAGTGGTGGTTTAGTGCTGATTACCAGTTTATATAGATGACATTTTGGTTTTGTATTACATTTAAGAGCAAAAATTGAAGTCGGGGTTCTCTAATCGGCTCAAAAATTGTTAGTCTTACTACTTGGGTTGCTTGTGTATGATGCCTAATAGGTCGGTGGGCGCCAGTACATTGTCATTCCTGGACGATTTATCTATACTCAGCGGCTAAAAGGCGCTAATGTCAACGACAAGGTATGATATTCTTCGCATTCTTCACTATTCGTTACTTGAATTCCTGTCGTTGTTGCTCCATTTTGGCTTTAGTTTTAGTTGTATGGAATTTTCTAGCTGTTAATTGTAGTTTTAGTGCAATACCTAGCTTTAATAGTATTTTTATGCATCACCGTTACTAGAATCACACAACTGGAGTGGTTTTGTTGAATTTCATATGCTTTTACTTCCTGGGTTGGATGAGAAACATTCCATTTCCAATGCCATTTCCAGAAATAGGCCTCCAATATTAGACTCATCAGTTGAGTTAACCTGTGGTATTAGGTGACTTTCAGCTAATCTTACAGCACGTCATAAATTGTAGAAAACATTATTAAAACAAAATGTGGATTGGAAATGCTGCAATCAGTCATTTCAAGACAAATTGTTAATATTATACATGCAAAAAGTCTGACTAGAAATTTTATGTTGGTGCTTCTTTGAAATAAGCAAGAAGAAGACCTAACAAAGGTTAGGCGATGTGAGTAGAGTGTAAGGATAGGCAGGAACACTAGTATGGTATTGTGAAAACATGTATATAGACATATTGGAGTCCGCATTTAGGTAGGAGTTCTGAAGAGGTAAGGACCCGTGGAAGGCAATCTCATAATTGTTGGAGGACTACCTGCTAGACATACGTAGTGGTCCCTTAATTGATTGGATTGTCTTCGTTTTGAAGAAGTAAAGTAATCCTTTTGTAGGCAAGTTGCTGCTCCGCCATGTTATATTTGGTTTATAAGAATCCTGGTTGGTCTGTCGTAGTGATAGTTTTATGATTTATCCCTTTAGTCAATTCAGCATTCTGGCTTACGCATGTGGCAACAGTCAAGGCCCAATGTTGGACGATTTTATGCTCCAACATAATAAGAAATCAATAATTTAAAAGAACATATGCAAGACAGAGGCTTCTTCATTGTCTTGAAAATAAAGCGTTTAAGTTGATGTTTCAATGGATTTCAAAAAATTTCAGCTGTCAATGTTTTTGCGTATGAAAAAGCTTTACCTTATGACAACAGAGGGTATGCTCTTTTGAAAAGCGGTGTCATACACGTATGACCTCAAAAGTTCCTGTCATTGCTAGTTGCTAACTTGGACAATTCTATTATGTCCTTTTCCAACACCATTTGCTGCATCAATCTTGTGATATGGTATTTGCCGCATCAATCTTGTGATATGGTATGGTTTGTTGTGCATAATTTGATCTGTACCTTCAATAAGGAAACAAATGTAGTAAGATAAAAAGAAACATTAAAAGTTTCATTTTTCCTTCAGTTGAAAACTTTTGTGAATCGAAAAGTTGTAGAGAGTGATTTGAACAAGAAAATCAACCTCAGAATTTGGGTAGTGCAATGTCACAGAAATCAATATAATTTGGTGCCCAGAACCTTGCATCATGGTTTTGCTGATTTAGAAGTAATTTATTTTGTAATAATATTCTTGTGATTCTGATTTCAAATTATCAATCACTTGAATAAGGATTTAGTTTATCCAAGCTCAGCGGTTCCTCACCTACGCCCCTTCCAGCACGAGTGTACTTTTAACCCTATAGAAATGTACTCTTGCTTTACTAGAGTTCATGAAAAATTGGACAATACTGTGGCCTGGTGGCCTCTAGTTTAGCCTTCAAGGGCTTTGAAATCAATTATTCTTTCTATTATAAAACCAGTGATGTTATCAGTATTGGATCTTTATTTTCCAAGAAGTTACTGCTGCTTTGTCCTCAAGGTGTTTAAACTTGATCTTATGCAGATTGTTCTCAACAAAGTGTTGTTGGTGGGGACTAAAACAAGTACGTACATTGGAAAGCCAGTGGTGACAAATGCCGCTGTACACGCTGTCGTTGAAGAGCAGGTAATTCATTATGTTATATGGAATCTCTCTCTTTTACCATAGTAAAGAAGGTCTGTATATTTGTGAATTTGTTTGCGTTTAGTTAGTATCTTTTTAATATTTTCTGTCTTATTGTTGCATATTCTTATGCAGGGACTTAATGACAAAGTGGTTGTCTTCAAGTATAAAAAGAAGAAAAATTATAGGAGAAACATCGGTCACCGACAGGTATTACCGTCATTTCTTTGTGAACCAACCAGAACATTTGATTTTATTCATAAGTGCAATGACTATTCTTTCTGTTATCTGTGTAGTTACTTCAATTGACTTGATTTCATACATCGAAGCAAGGAAAGAAAATGAGTTTCAGTTGTTAATATGATGATAGAAACTAAACTAGTGCATACGTCTATATGCATCAAGCATTTTACGGCAACGAGGCTTTGCCTCTCAGTTTATTACCCTACCTTTTATTTACTCTAGTTCAAATCCGAGTCCTATTTCCAGATGCGAGTCTTGAACTATCAGGGTCAACCGGGTACTAACGTGTAGGCTTGGGGAACGCTGTACAATCCTGACAATATTTTCTGGGATAATTTATGCATGGAATAAATGAAGATATGTGTCTTTGTAGTACGAACTGGTGAATCTTGCAGAGTCATCACATGTGATTTGCTGGTACCCCAACCAAAGTCAATTGTTTCAATTTATCATCGTAGATAGGACATAATATTTCCTTGAAGTTTCCTGTATGGTTTTCCTCTAATGATAAAAAGGAGAGCTTATATATTTGTCCTTGATCAAATACACATCACTAATCTCCGAATTGCGTATTCCTGTTTTGATGATTTAACTCGTTTGTCATGTATCCAGCCGAATACGCGCATAAGGATAACAGCGATCACAGGCTACCAAGACTATCCAGCAGTTACTCTCGAGTCGTAGGGCTGCATAGGAAGGTTTGAACGTATGATTCGTGATTGGTTTTGTGCGTCTTGTGAAATGTTATGAAGTAATGAATCAGAAATTTCTTTTTTCATAGATTCGTTTCGGTTCTCATTTTGCATGTAAGCTGGTATATGGTTCAACATTCGTTTCAATTCCACTATTGATTTGTGTGTCGTTACTAATTTGACATGATTGCAAGTAACCCCTTCCAAGTTCCTGCACAGGGTTGAAATCATCACAACCTTCAACAATTTACACTGCGGCCTGGTACAAATTCATTATTTTACCACGTCATATCTATTTCTAAGGTTCACCAAGGAGGATTCGAACTTGGGTGGACATAGAGCACTGACGCTGTGCACAACTCATGTATGCATAAACACACTCTTCGTTTTTTGAACAATCAGAATAATTAAGCCAGTTGAAAAACATGAAATTTTGTACTTTCGTCATTCCTCTGTTTGTAACATGCACATGAGTCTGACATGTGAGGAGAAGATGGTCATTTCATCCCTTCCATGGTCACTCCCCATTCATAAACGAAGACATCACGAACTGAAATCACATTCGGGTGCGTAGTTGAATTCTTGGATTGAACTGCTCCTTCTTGATTGATGCTGCTCCTTCCATCTTTTCGCTTTCGGTTTTAGATTTGGTTTTTGTTTTGGATTTTGATTTTAGATTGATGCTGCTCATCTTCTATCTTGTAGTTTAGGAACAGAGGTTGAAATGTTCGATTTGTTATGGGGATTGGCATGAAATGACCATTCATTCTCAAGAATTCCTAATCACCATTGATAAACATGGTTCCAATCAATAAGCACAACAAACTACCAAGACATTCAATCGTTTACGAAATTCTACTTTGATAACCTGATTATAAAAGCGCAAAAAATAAAAAAAATAAAAAAATAAAAAAAATAAAACAATGGACTCCCACATATGAAAGTACCAAAATACAATGCATCCAAAATAAAATAAGAGCACTATCAGGTTTTCTTCTACCATAGGTTATGATTTTTGTGGACAAAGCTCTTGCTAGGAGGTTTTCATGGTGCAACAGTTTGTTTATAGAAGTGGTTGGTGGATGAGGAGGCCATACCTGAGTATGTTGGTGACGTCTCCCTCAATTCTTAGCTTTGCCATCAATGTGGCTTTTCAAACACGAACCAAACCTCTGATATCAATGAAAGAATTTTGTTCGTGCTTTAGAATTGGAATGTCATGAGCAGTGGTGGAGCCACTTGAGGACTAGGAGAGGTTCGGGCCTATCTTGAAGTTTCTTCACTTTTAGTTTCTGTTTTTATGTTTTTTGTGGGATATTTTGTTTTCTTTGACTCATGTACTTTTTTTTCCTGGCTAACTTTATTATATTTATCTAATTGCCCAAAAAAATGTGTTTTACAGTAGTATTGTTATGAAACCAAATCCTTGTATCAACTAGCCTTCTTTAGTTAGTCACCCTTTTGCATGATTTGTTGAATAGTGAAACCATGCGTATATGGCATAGAGGAAGAATTTTTCATCAGTTTGGTGCAGTAATTTTTGTTCAATTTCAATTTGGGAACTCATAAAGAAGTTTGATGCGTATGATATAATTATCTCAATCTATTTTTTTTTTCTCATGAGATTCATCTCTTTTGATTAAAATTTTCCATTCCACTACGAAAATGAATTTTTCTTGCATTAATTATATTATTTTTTTTGTTCAATTTCTTTCATACGGCTTAGTGGCCCTATCTAGCCTCGATTTCTGGCTCCGTCACTAGTCATGAGGGTTTTAGCTAAGCTATTGGCATGCTACTAATTATAAAATGACCATCTTATCCTCACATGCATGTTACGAACGGAGGAATGACAGAAGTTTTAATTTTGGGTATAAATTTTAACAAACTTAGACTACAGGGATTAAATCCGATTTTTTTTATCAGATGAACTATCTTCTGAATACCTTATGACCACGATGATCATTTATCCAATTAGACCTTTTATAAAATTCTCTCAATTTTGAGATATTAAACCGACAACTTTGAAGTTTTAGTTCACCCACGCGTTCCTTTTAAAGACGAATTAACTGTTTAAGTTAACTATTAAAAAATTGAAAATATCTGTAAATATTAAAAAAAGTGCATTAAAAGGGAGTGATGTGAAATTGAATTAAAAACCTTGTGTTAGGTCATTCTAAACCCTAATGTAGATGATGTGGCATGTCCACGTAGGCCTGCCTCACCTGTCTAAAACCCTACTAGGAGGAGGAATACGCATTCGCACCCAAAATCCATAAAACCCCTCCCTCTCGATCTCCTCACCCACAATTTTTCAGAAATGGCTGCCGCTTTCGTATTTGAGCCTCCAAGTGATGAAGAATATTCCGACGCCGAAGAACAACAACCGCAGGAGGAGGAGGAAGAAGATGAACAGGAAGAAGACGAAGCAGCCCTGAAACCCTCTCGAGCTTCTCGCCACTCTGAGTCCCCGTGGGACTTCGCTTCCTACTCCGAAACAGTCGCCCAAGAACATGCTCGCCGGAGCACCACCTCCGTCGATTTCAAGATCTCCAAAGCCCTGCAGCAACGATCAGTCCCCAGTGCCGTTGCCCACGACGATGATGGTAGCTCCGAATCCCAATCCGAATCCGAACCCGAATCCGACAAACAGGTCTGTGTCTTGTTGATTTTACTCAAATTCATTCAATCAATTCAATGTGTATAAAATTGCTTAAATTAAGCTATGTTGTTGGTGTTGGTAATTTAGGAAGATTATAAGCCGGAAGATGATGAAGTAGTAGATGATGCCACTAATGCCGGTGATGGTAAAAAGCCATTTTTCTCCCCATCAGATGGAACCTCCTTTCATGCAAACTCGTTCATGGAGCTCCATTTGTCTCGCCCTTTGCTTCGGGCGTGTGAGAAACTGGGTTATACCAAGCCCACTCCTATTCAGGTCTCGAATCCTGTTACGCTTACAAACCATTTCCTGTTGCTTTCATTTCAGTTCACTGAATTTATGGGGCTTTGTATGCAGGCGGCGTGCATACCATTAGCTCTGAGTGGGCGGGATATATGTGGGAGTGCCATTACTGGTTCTGGCAAGGTATATTACTTCTCTTTACGGTAGAGTAACTATTACAGTTAGAGGTGCGGTTTGTGTGTTATTACTTTTAGTGATAGTCGAATCAAAATTATCTTCGTTCACTTCACAACTGATCTTTCTTTCATCTCAATCTGTTAACGCTTTTCTTGCCTTTTTTACACAGACTGCTGCTTTTGCGTTACCTACTCTAGAAAGACTATTGTTTCGTCCAAAGCGGGTGCCCGCTATTAGGGTCCTCGTTCTCACCCCAGCCAGAGAACTGGCGGTTCAGTAAGTTTTAGTTCCATATTCAGTTGTCTTATTTATACGTTATTGTCAGTTACTGTTCCTTGACTACAGTTTTCTGGACAATATTGCTTGGTTTTGGGAATAATTTCCTATGTAAAACATCTTTTAGGATCTGTCCTTTTATCTTGTCATTTTAGTTTCAGTCTAACTTTTAACATACTTTTCAGGGTTCATAGTATGATTCAGAAACTTGCCCAGTTTACTGATATCAGATGCTGCCTGGTTGTTGGAGGGCTTTCATTAAAGGTTTGATTCACTTCCATTTCTTAATGCCTTAACTGTCAGATTCCTGGTTTGAGGTTGGATGTCTGGCATCCCTTGAAACATTCAGTTCCAAGGGAAAATAGCGTACCTCCAACATCCAATTATTATATTCCCTCTATCCTTGCATAAGTGAGTGAGGTCAAATATTTTAACTCAATATTAGGACCTTGTAGCTAAATGGAAAACCTACGTTACCCCTCCCAAGGGGAAAAAACATAGTAAGTGAAAGTGAATGAATTATCCACTTGGCATGCATAATGATTTCCAGTCATTTTTTCTTATTAACTTTTTCTCTCATTTCCTTTTTCCAAAAATATTCAAGGAATGGCCTTTTTTTATCAGGCACAAGAGGCAGACTTGAGAACAATGCCAGACATTGTTGTGGCTACTCCAGGACGCATTATCGATCATTTACGCAATTCAATGTCTGTGGATTTGGATGATCTTGCTGTTCTAATTCTTGACGAGGCAGATCGCCTTTTGGAGGTTGGATTTAGTGCTGAGATTCGTGAGCTGGTATGCCCTGCCCCCTTCTTGATGCAAGCATGTGAAGAATTGAAATATTTCTGATTGACTTAAATAATTTAATATTTTTTATATATTAGTAAACAATCTCTAATCATAAGTTTTTATGCAGATTCGTGTATGCCCCAAAAGGAGACAAACCATGCTATTTTCAGCTACAATGACTGAAGAAGTTGACGAGCTTGTTAAGCTTTCTCTGACCAAACCATTACGCCTCTCGGCTGACCCATCTGCGAAACGGCCAGTCACACTAACGGAAGAGTAATTAATTATACCCACTATACAATTTTGCTTTGTTCAATTTTTATCATTACTTGTAGCAGCATTTGTCTCTATAATAAGGGTATGTTGATGTATGAATTAAATTCACCTTTTTGTCTATTGTCATTTTGGATGTCATGTAGAGTGGTTAGGATACGACGGATGCGTGAAGTAAATCAGGAAGCAGTTCTACTTGCATTATGTTCAAAGACATTCACAGCCAGAGTGATCATATTCAGGTTTGTAACATCTCCTTAAACCATTATTGACTAAATAACAAATATTTATTCCGAGTTCTTTCCTCATATTGGCTGATATCTTTTGTTAGTTCTGTGTAATGATTGTTTATTTTCTCTGGCAGTGGCACAAAACAGGCTGCACATAGGTTGAAGATTTTGTTTGGGTTAGCTGGGCTTAAAGCTGCTGAGCTTCATGGCAACCTTACACAAGTCCAGCGTCTAGATGTGAGTAACTTGTGTGCTTAGTGAAGTTTGGTTTTGTGGGTTATTTGTATGATTAGGTAGTGGGTTATTTGTATAATTAGTTAGTGAAGTTTGCTCACCTGCTTAGTTATATCTAATGGTAAAGAAGATTGGCAATGACTGTTGGATATCTTGCTAGTTGACCTTATTTTCCTTTTTATCGAATGTGAAAATCTTTTCTGTTATTGTTTGTGTAGGCTTTGGAACTTTTCAGGAAGCAGGGAGTTGACTATTTGATTGCAACTGATGTGGCTGCTCGTGTAAGAACCAGTCCTAGAATTTTTATTTATTTATTTTTTTTTCTCTGTCTGTACATTAGCACTTCCAGATGTGTGTTCTTACTCACTCAGAACTTTGTTCTCAAATTTTGAATCTCTCTCTCTCTCTCCCTCTCTCCCTCTCCAACTTTGTCTCATATTGGACATTGAACCGATTGTTGAAATCACACTAACCTCTTTTACACATATAAAACTGCATATTTTTATTGATTTTGAAAATCAAATTTAAAAAGCAGATGTGCCGCTGGCTGACATGCACCATGCGGATTGTTGACTTTTCCATATAAGATTAGCCAAACTTCATATCGTTTTCCAACCAGGATTTTCAAGGAATTGATGTCCTTAATAATCTTATTGTACTTAGCCAGTACTCTCTAGGTCCCATTATTGTCCATGTATATTATTTTGTCTTTGTGTATTAGGTGGGGTTAGGAGAGAAAGGTGTGGTTGTTGGTCTATGGTCTTTTCTTCCCCTACATCTTGACTCTGTAAAAACTACGAAAATTATGTTGCTTTATAAAAATTAACGAGTCGGTTTATATTCTGCAGGGACTTGACATCATTGGTGTTCAAACAGTTATAAATTATGCATGTCCTCGTGACCTTACAAGGTAATCACTGGCCGCTCCCACTGTTGCAATATATTCATGTATTCACCTGTCCTACCATTGGCATTTAGAAATAAACTGTTGCTGACTTGTATACCTTATTTTATCGTTTATACATTTATGGTTTGTGCATGTATTTTTCCTCCTTAATCTTATTTGTGCATCTTTGTGACTTCCATCTTGTTTCTTTCCTTGTGCAGCTATGTTCATAGAGTGGGTCGTACAGCAAGAGCAGGCAGAGAAGGATATGCCGTTACTTTTGTGACAGATAATGACCGATCTCTTTTAAAAGCCATTGTGAGCATCATCTTCTTCTGTTGTGTTCTTGGACAAGTGTATTCTTTTCTCCCATTCGTCCTCGAGTACACTAACCCTCGTATTTAATGTTCTCTTATCCAAGTACAAAAATGATGTTCACGATTTCAAGAGAATTGTAGTTTTAACTTATATGTTCCTTGGGGGAATTCAATTTAATAGGCAAAAAGAGCTGGTTCAAAGTTGAGGAGTCGAATTGTTGCAGAGCAATCAATTACTAAGTGGTGTCAGATTATTGAGGAAATGGAAGATCAAGTGGCCACAATTCTTCAAGAAGAGAGGTTTGCATTTTTTCTCTAAATAAAGGTTTTTGACTTATTTAACTGTCTTCCGTAAAAGTAATTAGATTTGGAATATATGCAGGGAAGAGCAAGCACTAAGAAAAGCTGAAATGGAAGCATCGAAGGTATTTATTGACACCAATCCTTCCTTGCTACCTAATTTGTTGTTATCATTTTTGAGAGCACAACAAGCAATCAGAAGGTTGTCCAATGTTGCTACCAACACATTCCTTGGAAAATCGTTGTTGTGTAAACTTATTATTATTATTATGGTTTAATCTTTGTGGCCTTCATTACAGGCTGAGAATATGATTGTGCACAAAGATGAAATTTATTCACGCCCCAAAAGAACCTGGTTTGTAACAGAAAAGGAAAAAAGGATGGTAGTGAATGCAGATAAGGTAATTTCTTTGTGCACCATATTGTTTTATGTTGACATGCATTTATTTCAGTCACTTACAATTTAGGTGATTTATCTAGTTCATGGGTGCCTCAGATTTGCTTGGATTATTTTAATACAGTGAAACCTCTATATAGTCATAGTTTTGGGACCAAGCCAATTTTATTACCAGAGGGAGGTTATTACTTAATGGAGGTTTAACTACAAAAAAAAGAATTTTTTTTTTACTTAGTTATGTTAAATGAAAGTGTAAGGGTACAAAGGTTTACATTTGTAGTGAGCGTGTCAATTTCCAAAATGTGGACATTGGAGCAAGAGACACACCTAATGGCTTGACACATGTATGTATGCAGTGCTATCTTTTATGCCAAAAGTTTGATGCCCAGAAGCTGTAAATGAGAGATTACGTGCCTCCAAGCTCAAAGACTTGACATCAACTCTAAAGAATAAATCGTTATCCCAGACAACTTTACATGAATATTTTTATTTCAATTTCAATTTTTGGTTTGTGACATTACGTATTTTTTGACTTTATCCACAATTATTACTATGTGGAGGCTTAGTTTTTTTAAGACAGGACCTAAAAACATTATAACTCACTACAGTATGGAGTTTATTCTTATATATAACCGGCCCAGATTAGGATTGAACTTTTTTATGACTAATCCGAGGTTATTCCTATTAGAGTACCACTATACTGAGGTTTTACTTTACTACAGAATGGGTACAATACTACAATGTAAGAAAAATACATTTGCGATGACCATTGGAAAAGCCCTCAATATGGGGGGCATTGGATACCATTTGTAATTATTCTCTACCTGTTGCATCTTCTGATTACATAAATTTAGTTCCAATACCATATAATGGATGTGGTTCGAAGTATAACTGAGCTTCTCAACCAAAAAAGGCAATATTTGATGCCATTTCCCATGTGGTAAGTGATCTAAAGAAGTTTAACTTGCCCTATACCCACTCTTTGATTAACAGAGAAAATCTAAACCTTATTGGTTCTCCTTTGATTTTCAAACAATGATAAAGCCAATCATTCCAATTGTTGTTGGGTTAAAATATTCTTCACTATTTTTTTTTTCCAAAGCTTTTCAATAAAGAAGAGACTGTTTGTATGGTTAGAGGTTTTTCAAGTCAGCAGACCTTCTCCAATGTATGGTTTTGTTCTTTTACTAAGAGTGAGAAGCACTTAAGCTGCCGTAGATCTTCATTGTAATCCTATTTTCTCCAGGATGACTTGTTTTCTTTTCTATTCTAAGCATTTTTCTTGAATGGGGGACTTAACAAAGTAAAGGCATGATATCAAAGTTCTTCTTTCTGCTGACAGGCATCCAATGAAAGTGAAAAGCACCCTGGAAAAGAGGTAATAAGTGCCCAACAAGCTGAAGATTTAAAACTGAAAGAAAAGAGGAAGCGGGAGCGTGAGGTGATTGTAATCCTGCATTTTCCTTTTCAAATTTTTATTATAATTCATTTGGGTCAAGTGTGTGACATGACAAGTGTTTGGAGCAGAAAAATTTGCCTCGAAAGAAGCGACGAAAATTGGAAGCAGCTAGGGAAATGTTAGAGGAGGAAAATCAAAATGAAAAGTTTGATGTACATCTCTCTCTCTCTCTATCTCTCTGACCCTGCATGTACTTATATATAATATTTCTGTACCTTTTGGATGAACTTTTTGGGGTAATTAGAATTGCCTAAGTGTTCAGGTTTTTGTCATCTTAATTTTGATTCGTATGTGGGGGCAGTCTTGTATTCCTGTGGTCAGCTTAGGCCACTAAGTCATATATATAAAATGTTTAGTTAAATATTATATTATTGTGTTTTAGAGTGGAATAATATACATAAACAGAAAAGATATCAGGATGAAGAAATATTTGGTTGGTTGGTGTAGAGGTTTAGTGCAAGATGATTATTGATTTTTGTATTACCCTTGGGTAGTTGACATTCACTTCATCAGGATGTTTCCCAAGTTTCTGGATATGTGGTCTTCTATAGTTGAGGGATTATTCTCTTTCTCATATACTGTGGGATATGTTAGCAGCCGCAAAATGATTTTGGTTGAGGTTATGTTACTTGTAAATAGATCTACTTGAAAGGTCTTGGCTAGTTTTGCTAGATGGTGGATTTCTTATCCACTATTTTGTAATTCATGTAATTATTTTAATAAAGTGTTATCGTTTCTTCTCAAAAATAAAAATTAAAAAACTTAGTGTTCATGTAATCTTGTAGCTCAAATTCTGAAAAGACAAAAAGAGACAAAACTTTGATGACCATATCCACACACACATATACACACAGATACGTATAATGTAATAGCACAGAGTAATCATTATGTAAGGAACTGCAGGGTAGTGGAAAAAAGGAGAAGACCGGAACGCCACTTGTTGACCTGGCTTACCGACGGGCAAAAGCCGTGAAGGCTGCAAAGAAGGCAACAGATGCTGGCAAAATTGTGAGGAAGACTAGTAAGAAATCTAGTCGTCCCCCCCAAAAAACTCAGTCAAGGACAGAGGAGATGCAGGACCTGTTCCAGAGTGACATGAGTCAAAGGAGGCAGAACAAAAAAAGTAGTGGAGTCGGAAATAAGAAGTCCAAGAATTCTTTTAAGAGCAAGTCGAGGTATGAAGCACCTTATCTTGTGATTAATCCTCCTTTCGATTTTGATTTGTATCTTACGGTCTTACTAAGCATTTTTGTGCTGTACATAGACTTTATGTTATAGATTCAGTCAAATTTTTGAATGGGCACATATCAGCTAACAAGAAGTCCTTGAGAAATATACCTATAGTTTAGTCACCTGAAAGTTTTAAAATGAACAAACTTGTAGACTGTTTTTATAAGATGCTTCAGTGCAAAGGTGGCTTTGTTGAATGTGAGAACATCAGCACAGGTGATGAGACCTAGTCTACACCCTTGTATTACCCCTTATACGCACAAATTTCCTTTTAACTGCTGACCTCGAGCTTGAGCCTTTGAGTGGATCCATTTGGCTGAAATTCTGTTGACGATTGTGGTATAATTCCATAAGCTCTCCTGATAGAGTTTGTTTTTGGTACAATAAGTTTAAATTGGGAGAATAGTGACTACATGATTTCTTCTCTATCTCAATCCTTTATCATGTTATTCTTACTTGTGGTAAATAAATAGTTTAGTACTTAAAAGGCCATTTGCTGATGATTTGGTGATCTATAATCATGTCTTGTTTCGTTAAAGGTCAGGCAGTAGGCGGTGTAGTCCTGTAGGTAGGGTTTTAGATAAACAGAAGAATTAAGAAAGGTCCTTTATCCATTAAATGCACAGCGAGTATCTTTTGTTCTAATCTATCGTCTGCCATTTAGCTGTTTGACATTGAAGTTCATAGAAAACTGTACATTTTAGTTGTTGAAGTAGCTCGAGTATTTGTATTTCTATTCTCCTTAAGTAAAGGGAGCTTCCATCTTAGTAATAGCTCAAATGGTACTATCTCGGCTTGTTGAGGTTTCTCCTTTGCTGCTTGTATTACCTCAATGCACGAATGATGGAAATTGTGTAATAGATCTTGTCTGTTTTTTGATTTCTAAACCAGGTACAAGAGGAGATAGCTTCATCAAGCTGGGAATCAAAATTCCCCATACTGTGTTGGACATGCAGTGAAAGGGTCGATTGGTCTCTTCAAGTGTTAGGATGGAACATCTGAGCGAGAGCACTACGTAACTGGTAATAGCATGGTAGGAGGAAAGGAAGAGCGGACTTTTTGCCTTTCATATGCTCAAGGGGATTTAGACTTGTCTAACTTGGCTCCCGGTATTTTAGACGTGAATTTTACTTGTTACTTAACAGTTTTCTCAAACTTTTAACAATTATGACGAACATTGATGATCAAGTTTTGATGAAATTCATTTGATCTTTGGGTCTAGTCTAGTCACCATTGTCAACGACATTGCTGTTATTACTAGTTGCACCGTAACCGTGACAATTGGGTGCAGTCACCAAAATAGATGACCCTTGGGCACCGTTGCCAGAGTCACCAATATAAGGAGAGTATCAATCCCACGTCGGAAAAAGAAGGGACCTTGCTTGTGCTTATAAATAATTGAATTACTCATCATGTTTTCAATTGATTTTTCGATAGAAGCTCAACTTTCTTCATTTCCACGATGTTTAATCTTTTGTAGAATAAGAATGCATCATTTTATTCATAATTTTGTGTTTAGAAGAAAAGGGATGGGCGGCCACAATATGTACTCTAAAGATGTGCCCTATTTATTTCTCGTTTGGAAGGATTCTGGTAGGAAGAGGGGGGGGAAAAGGATCCTTTTCCTGGGGATTCCGGGGATCTTGTGCTCATAGTCGTTTATCGTACATCGTGTGGTCAGTTGTCATTAGGTATTATTTATATTTAATTCTAAATTTTAAATTTTAAATGATTTCTGATCGCATGATGTACGATGAACGATCATGATCACATGATCTTCCGGATGCCCAGGAAAGGGATCCGGAGTAGGGACAATTTGATCTTTTGTGTTATACAATCCACTCCTATTCGATTGTACAAAAGCAAAAAATGAGGTAGTGTGAAAGCCCAAGGACAAAAAGGGGAACAAGACAGAAATAAAATTTGCATAACGATGGCGTCGCCCGGCTTCGAACCAACTTTGCCCCTTTAGGGACCGCAAAAGAAATTTCGGATAATAAAAAGAGCGATTGCGTCAAGGAAGATTTGCAGCTGCAGCTGCAGAGGTGTATTTAGGCCTGATTTGGAAAAAAAATTGATATTAAAAAAAAGCTAAGAGTCATTTTTATGTTTAGTAAACATTCAGTTTCAGCTTTTTTTTATAGTTTTGGATGAAAAAAAAGCTAAAAACAAGAAGCTGCAAAACCCAACTTTGAAAAACCTATTTTTTTTCACATCTGTTTTATATAAAAGTTTATTAAATACTATAATACTGTTTTTTCACAACTACTTATTCTTACAGCACAGCAGAAACAATTTTTTTTTTAAAAACAACAATATCAAACCAGCACTTATTTGAATCACTCACTCGTCGTTGCAAAAGAAAAGAAATGGCGCCCTCCCCTTGCGTTTAAATTAGGCCACCGCTTCTCTCTCTTCTACTTCTTCTTCTGTGCTGTGCTATGCTGCGCTGTTAGAGAGAGAGAGAGAGAGTGAGAGAGAGAGAGAGAGAGAGGTTTAGGTTTAAGGATTGTTTGAAGATGATAGTGAGAACTCCCCCAACGAAGAAGCAACGGGCGGCGCCGCCGGTGATCGAGACCCCACCGCCTGCCCCTGCCACAGGCCCAAGCCCAGGCCCTCTCGTCATCTTCGAGGACGACCCTCCTCCTTCCCTTCCACCTCCCGGTTCCTCCTCCCGGTTCCTCCTCCCACCACTTGCTTTGCACCTATCAATGCCGCCAAATGGTAATATTGCTTCCCTCTCTTCTCTCTGCCTCTCTATATGTAAATATTTATCATTTTCTAGATGGAATAATCCATTGATCATCCAAGTGGCTGCTCGATTTTGCATCTTCTGTTTCCCAATTGAAGTGGCTGTTCAATCCATACTAGCTAGATACATTTGAATCAGTTAATTATTGTTGCTGACAATATATGATATCTAATGTAATTGATTCATTCAATTTTTCATGCCTGGATTTCATTCTGGAGGCTAAGTCTCGTATATGCCGCAAATCGTAATTTCGATTGAACCATTTTAGAATTTCTTTCCCTTCACTGTATATATTTGATGTAAGGTAAATGTTGGCCTGTAATTGTCGTATTCACGCTGCAGATTGTTTTCCCTCTTTGAATTTTTCCTTATCATCCAAACCCTTTGACTTTGTCCCGACTTTTAATACAAGTTCTACAGACCGGATGTTATTTTCTAATGTGGATTCAGTACAATCATCTGTGTTTCTTTTCTCTTGCTTGTAGTCCTTATTGTATATTTTTTGGCTAAGTGGAACCCTTTCCCTTCCTTTGGCGCAGGTTAAATCAGATTTTATAGATGCCTTGAGCAATGCAGAGAAGCAAGCTTCTGATTATCAATCTAAATTGGTGGCTTTAAATGACAACTTCTGCAAAGTTGGTGGGTTCTTTTGATAAGATGTTCCACTACATTGCTTAACATCTCTTTTTTCTCCTCAGCTTCCCAAATGGTTTTGTACTTATGGGTCTCGCAGTTCAATGCTGTACTTCTGTTCGTTACAAAATACATATTTTTCTTTCTGTCTTCTGGCAGGCTGAATGGTAATTGGAGAGTTTTCGTTCCAAACTCACTGTTATTGTTGCACAAATATTCGAAAAAACATTTCTTTACTTGATGGGATTAACTAAGGATGTAATATGGTGGTATATGACTACGTAAAGATTTTCGTATCAACAAGTGACAAAGCTAATGAATTTTAAATTTTCTTATTTTGAGCAGAGTATATGTCTTCATGCAGGAC